TATGTAGTAGATACTTGAATCAATGAATGAATCACAGAAACTAACCCATTTAATTGTTGGCAGGTTTATCTTTTCTGCCTGAAAAGACATCTCTTTCACTCTGTCCTGGAGCTGTCACACCTCTCATTTATTTCTGGCTCCAATCTACAGACTTAAAATACATGTGCGTGCCTTATGTTTTCAGCCATCTGTCTCATGCCTCCATTGCTGTGAGCATATATTAGCTTTCCTGGCATAGCTGGTGAACAAAACACAATAAATTGCCACTTTCTTACAGACTCTTGTTAATCGCTCACAGCAGAGCATGGTTCTCTAACTGCTCACCTGGATTGTAGAAGAGACTTGTATCTCTGAAACTGAGGGTCGGGCTCTATGAGGAAAGAATAAGTGTAACAAATGAGGGAGGAGACAAAGACACTAAAATCCACAGTGCGAGAGGAAGGTGCAATTTTAAGATCCAGATTCAAAGAATTACGGGATATGCAATATGATTTCATCCAACTCATTTTACAGATAAAGAAGCGAAATCCCAGAGCAGACTGGGATTATCTCCCAGTCCCAGAGTCAGTAAATGGCAGTCTGGACCCACACCCTGTCTCCTGCCCTGTCTCCAGTTTTCTTTCTTTTGTATCCACTTCAACCCAAAGCCTCTTGAGTGCCTGCGATGGCTAAGTCCACTTGCTAGCTGTGTAACTTTGGACAGGTTGCTTAACCACTCTGAGCCTCCATGCATCTGCACCTATACATGGTGAGAGTGATAGTGCATGTCCCGTAAGGCTGCTGGAAGGGTTCAGGAAGATAGTGCCTGCATCAAAAGTGTGTGTGTGTGCGCGCGCACAATACCTGGCAGCTTTGATCACCAAGGCTGTCGATATAAGGGCAAAACTTACCAACTTTCTTTTGCTCAGTTCTGCTCACTGGGGAGATTTGGGGCCAGTTCCCTCTGTGGTTCCCATCTATAGCGTGCTGTTTCAGGGAGAGGGGTTTTCCGTGATGACTGTAATCCAGGGTTTCTCACCTTGGGTACTGCTGACATTTCAGGCGGGATGATTCTTTTTTGGGGGGGGGACGGGGGCCTGTCCTCTGCCTTTTGTGCTGTTTAGCAGCACCACTGGCCTCCACCCACTCAGTGCCAGAAGTACCTTCCCAGTTGTGACAACTGAAAATGTTTTCAGACATGGCCACTGTCCCTTGCGGGCTAAAATGGCCCTGTGTTGAGAGGCACAGCTGGCACCCCCTAAAAGAGGGGTTACCACTGAAGGGAAGCAGTGACCCTTTCCCAGACCTTATCCTGGAATCAGTGCTTCATCCCCCAACCCCCACCCCAGACGCTGCCCTGGCCCCGCAGAGCCCCACGGGCAGACCTCAGTGCACCCTGGAAGCGGAGCATTTGGCGTTTCTGTTACAAAGCTGACCTGAGAGACTGGCGGGCTCTTTCGTGTGGTCACACCAGGCAGGGCCCTGGCCTGCTGTCCCCTCCCGGCCTGAGGCCGTGGACATCCTCTCTCTTGCCCAGCTTTCTCTATAGGCGCTGCTTCCTGTGCTCTGCTGGGACTGCTCCTCCCATCCAGGCCTTCCTTCCAGCATCACCATCTTGTTGACCATAGTTGATGTC